TTTTTATGGTAATATCAGTACATGTAATTACCTAATTTGCATAATTAATTAATTTTCAGCTTTTGATATAAGTAGTGAGCATTACATTTCAATGAAACTTGGTACTTACATACTCAAGGACTATGCAGAGATTGATAGTTTCAGGGTAAATAATTGTGCATATTAATTACCTAATTTGCATAATTAATTTTCAGCTTTTCTACTGATATCTAAAGTACTAATCATCACATTTCAATGAATCTAAAATTATGCAGAGACCCAATTAGTTTTTGGTAAATATTTGTGCATATTAATCACCTAATTTGCATAATTAACCAATTTCCAACTTTCACACTGATATCTCAGGTACTACCAGTAATCATCACATATCAATGAATGTTTATACATGGATGCTGTAGGACAATAGACAGACCTGGATAATTGTGGGTTAAAATCTGTACATAAAAAAAAAAAAAAAAATTACCCAATTTGCATAATTAACCAATTTTAAGCTTTCACACTGATATCTAAAGTACTAATTTCCATTTTAATGAAACTTAGTACAAAGATGCTCTAGGACAATGTACAAACCTAATTAGTTTGGGGTAAAACTCTGTTCATATTATTTCCCCAATTAGCATAATAATTCATAATTTTTTGGTTCTAATCACATTTCAATTAAACTTGGTACATAGAGTTTTTGTTACATTGCGCAGACCTCATTAGTTTTACAATCAAATCTGTTCATGTTAATTTTCTGATTTGCATAATTAGTTTTCAGCTAAGTAATTTCAAATTATATTTAATGTGTCTCCAATACTCTCAGCACATGGGAGTTCTTTCTAAGCTTTCTTTGATTTTAGTTTATGTTGTCTCATTTTTTTGTGTGTCATTTGGTTTTAATCATTTATCATGAACCTCTTAAGAGTCAATCATTACCATATATGATTATTTTCTTTTGTTCTGATTTCTAGATTGATAGTTGTTGCGGATAAAGATGTTGTTTATGAAAGGTTTCCAATTCCACTTATCAATCGTCTTGAGAAACACTTTTTGGCAATGGCAACAATGCTCACACCTGGAGAGCTTGAAGTGGTAGATAGACTGGAGAAATGGGTCAAGAGTTTTGCTACCATTACCCAGAGTCCACATCAGAGAGACAGGTTTGTTTTCTAATCTATGACATTCAGGGTAATATGAATTTGAGTCCATGATTGGGTGGCCACTTTGCAATAGGAAATAAATACATTTGCCTACTTGTAAGACATTACTTGTTGGGTGGGAGAACGGTATCCATTGGTAGGGGATATGAAGCTGCTGTCTTCTGTGTTCCTGGCTTTGCTAAATGTAAAAATAACCTGTTTGCCTGAATTTTTATTTTAAAAAGTCAAATAACTAAAATATCAAGATAAATTTGTAATCAATAGCTAATTCTATTATATTTTGATATATATGTAGTGTATTAATTTTATTTTTTTCAGGTCCAAAGGTCGATTTAAAATTCATGATGCGTTCATTGGATTCAATAATGACACTATTGCATCGATTGTATTACAAGTTACCACGGATATGAATCAACATGAAGGGAATCAGAAGTGGCAGGAACATGTAAGTCTTCATAACATTGTCTTCTGTAATGCTAGTTTACTGTCATTGATAATATATATAAAAATGGGACATGGCAATGATTTTATGACAGGACAGCAGTACCCCTATATGATAGTATAGTACCCTCATATGACTAGCTTAAACCACTTTTGTTATTAATAAATAAATATTATCTCAGTTTTCTACCATGCAAATGTGGATTAATGGAAGAAGGGTTTGCTGTTTTCTGTAGGTGTATGAGCAATCCCAGGAACTGCTGCTGTACTGCGCAACTCCAGATTCTGTAGCACGGTTAACCAAATCAGGACTGTGCAGTTCATCAGAGAGACTGTGGCAGAAGTACTTCAAAGAACAGAAACACAATTCAGTAGCTGAGTATTTAGAATACCAAGTCAGTATGGCTAAAAGAAGTGGAAATATGGTTGGAATATTTGCACAGGTAATAACATGTCTTGTAGATGAAGCTCATTGTTAGTCCCCGGGCACTTATGTTTTGACCTCTGTGCGTCCGTGCGTCCGTCTGTCCGTCCGGACCTGTATCTTAGACATGCCTGGACCAATCACAATCAAACTTCACACATTCATCATACATGATATACATGTATGCACATCAATTTGTTTCACGATCTGATTCAAGATGGCCGAATGGCAGCCATTTTTGTGCTAAAAAATCATCAAAATCAAGCATTTCTCGGCTGTTTACAGATTTTGTTTAAACTTGGTATAAACATTATACATTATAGGACCTTGATGCACATCATTTTGTTTTTCAGATAAGATTCAAAATGGTCGACTGGCGGCAATTTTGTTTTAATGAATGTGGTTCTAGTGTCATATCTCTGACTTGCTTTGACTGATTATGTTTAAATTTTAAATATTCATTATACATCATGTTATAGATATCCAGATATATTGCTTTGATGATCCTATTAAAAATGGCCGAATGGCGGCCATTTTTGTGCTGAAAAATCATCAAATATCAAGCATTTTTGCCATTTATAGATGGATTTTGTTCAAACTTGGTACATACATTAGACATTACGGTTTACTGATGCATGTCATTTTATTTTTCAGATCAGATTCAAAATGGCTGACTGGCGGCCATTTTGTTTTAATGAATGGGCTTCTAGAGCCATATCTCTGACATGCTTTGACTGATTATGTTAAAATTTTGTATATTCATTATACATCATGTTATAGATATATACATGTATTCAAAATGGCTGATTTTGTTTTAATTAAAGCTGTTCCAGAACAATATCTCTCAATATGGACAAGTACTCATTTGATGATCAGATACAAATGTCAATCATTTTGTTAAACAATCATAATAATCAATTTCCTGACATGTTTTTATTCCAACTATATTACTATAAACAAAATTATATATCTTAAATTCCATAACTAACGGGGACTGTGCCATGCATGACTTGTTGCAATTATTTTATATATATCAGGTCTTTGGGTCTTACCTTTAAATAGGTGATTTTTTGTTAACTTAGAGTTTTCGTGTAGTGTGCACAGACCAAATGTCTGCCAGAAAAATTAAACGATTTGAATTCAAATTTAATTTATAGCTTAATGTCAAAATGCAAATCTTGAGTTGAGGTACCCTTACTTTGTCAAAATTGATCATCATTAAATGTGTATATCATATTATTAAGCATGGTAATACTTGTGTTTGATGAACCCCATGCGATGTTCGGACACCACTATGACCTTTGTTTGTCCTGTTACAAATGTACTTTGTTTAAATTCATGCATAACATGTGATCTTGCAGTGCACGAAATACAGCCATCGTCCTATTTATAGAGAGTACCTTGATACAAATATACTTGAAGCCTTTGCAATGTGTATGACTTTGAAATGCATATTGGTTATTTCTAACTGTAAAATATTTCACAGTATAACTTATTTATTTTTCTATGTTGCTAGGTAACCACACATTCCAGATTATTATCCCGATATGATATACAGGATCTAGCTAGAAACATTGGTCTTCATCCAAAGCTGTTACTTCAACACAGTGTCTTCTTACAAGCATTGCACACTGAGCAACAATTCACTAAACATGTTAGGTAAGATTTCTTGCATTCAGTTACCTGAAAATGGACTGGGAGCTTAAAATTGTTCTCCTGAATAAGGTAACCAAAGTGATTAGGGGAAATATGCTACTAAATTCTCTTAAAAATGATATGGATTGGGAAAGTGATCACTCTTTTTAGAAAATAAGGTCATTTTATCTGTTATGCATAATAAAGTTTGATAAACCCGGTCAAGTATAGCAAGTACCCAGGTTGTAATGTACACTCTGAGCAGATATCATGTAGTATAAATGGTACAATAAAAACTGCTAGTCCTGTATGCTGCTCCTTTCCTCGCTAATCACCAGTCATATGCTTTGAACTCACAAGCCCAGAGTGATGTACTTGTACATTCACTTGTAATCATTTTACCATTATCCTTTACCATGAAGTATAAATTTGTGTGGTTTCTTTCCTTCAGGGCATTCTTCACTGACACTGATGCTTCAAAGATGGAAAGACTTCTTCTTGTTCAGTGTGATGCTGGTGATGAAAATACCAATCTGATAGCATGCTCACGATACATAGTACAAGATGAAAGAGCACAAGCAATGAAACACAATGATAACTGGCAACTTGCTCATGTCGTTTTTATTATTCAACTACCGAGAGTTGCTGGTGGATGTTTTGATGGACTGCAAGGTGTGTGAGCTTTACATTTTTTTTTTCATTTGCTCTAATATGGTACAGAAGACATGTGGTCACTGTGTTAGATGAATAATATTTGCCTCAGTTAACCTGCTGAATCTAATTAAATCAATGCAATTCTCATTCAGGTGGTAAATGGTTAGCTGCACATATAGATGATTTGAGACCACCGCTGTCAAGCCATCCAGAAATTACTGCTCTGCAGAACCAATCAATGAGTGCTGTCTTTGAAAGTGACATTCCAAAAAGGCAACAACTGAAAAAGATTTCTCCCAGTGATTCTGGGATTCAGATATCTGAGGAATCGGATGATATTATGGAAAGTGAGACAACAGGCATATCAGTTGAACTTGTGGATGGAATCATAGAGAAAGGCAAGTCATAACCTGTACAGATTTCATACCTTTATTTCTCAGTTTAGGAGGCAATTTGTCAATGTTGATGGTCACATTGGAATAGTGGTCATATATATATACAGGTCACTTTAAATGTAAATTGAATTGGGCAGATGGTCTTGATCTAAAGGTTTGACTGTACTAAAATCTGCCTTGACTGTACACATTGTGAATTTTAAATGTGTTTGCAATTTGGTGATGTAATCCAATTATTATGAGAATACCGTGAATTATGCACCTAGGCAATACAGGATTGCATTGACCTTTGCTACGTGATATTATCTTGTAATGCCATTGTCCTACTTTGTGATAATTTCATGATAACCTTATTATTATGCTATTTTTCCAGCTTGTAGTAACTATGTTTTGGGATATAACAGCCTGAAATGATAGCCTTGGTAATCACTGTAAATAAGTGATGTGATTCTGTTTTATTCACACACTATATTGTTGCTGCGTTTGACAATAGAAAGGGTTACCAGGTAGAATCACTTTTGAACACAGCCCTTACAATATTTATGGAGGAATGAATTCTCTTGTGTTTTCGCTGCTAGATTT